ATTTTTGTATTAATGTAGAGAGAGAGTTTCACAATATTGGCCAGGCTGGTCTTGAACTCCAGACCTCAGGTGATCCACCCACCTCTGCCTCCCAAAGTGCTGGGATTACAGGTGTGAGCCACCATGCCCAGCTGGATCAATCCTATCTACCAGTTTAGTAACTCTAAACCTCTAACCAAGAAGAAGATGGGGTTAAAATGGCCTGTTCTTATGAAAACTCAGGTTCAAATGTCTTGTAGCTTCTACCAGACACAGAAGAATTCAAACCTTACTAAACAATCCATGGAAACATAAAAAGAAGGTATACACCACAGCTCATTTTTGAAGCTAAAAGTGACTTTGGCCCGGGTATGGAGGTTCACACCTGTAATCTCAGCACTTTGGGAGGCCGAGGTGGGCGGATCATGAGGTCAGGAGTTCGAGACCAGCCTGGCCAACATCGTGAAACCCCATCTCTACTAAAAACACAAAAAATTAGTTGGGCACGGTGGTGGATGCCTGTAATCCCAGCTACTCAGGAGGCTGAGGCAGGAGAATCGCTTGAACCTGTGAGGTGGAGGTGGCAGTGAGCCGAGATCATGTCATTGCACTCCAGCCTGGGCAACAGAGCAAGATGCCGTCCCAAAAAAAAAAGTGAGTTTGATACTTAGGAATTACAGATGCTAGACAAACCAGCAAACCATGTTCTGCAATATAGAAAAAGGATAAGTGGGTAGAGTGGCTCACATCTGTAATCTCGGTACTTTACGAGGCCAAGGTGGGATGATTACCTGAGGCCAGAAGTTGGGAGACCAGCCTGGGCAACAGAGTGAGGCTCTGTCCCTACAAAAAAAAAAAAATTGTTTTTAATTAGCCGGGTGCAATGGCACCTGAAAGTCCTAGCTACTCAGGGGACTGGAGCAAGAGGATCCCTTGAGCCCAGGGGTTCGAGGTTACAGGCAGCCATGATCATGCCACTGCACTCTAGCCTGGGCAACAGAGTGAGACTCCATCTCTTAAAAAATAAGAAAGGCCAGGCACAGAGGTTCATGCCTGTAATCCCAGCACTTTGGGAGGCTGAGGCAGGTGGAGAACCTAAGGTCAGGAGTTCAAGCCCAGCCTGGCCAACAGGGTGAAACCCCATCTCTACTAAAAATACAAAAATTAGCTGGATATGGTGATAGGTGCCTGTAATCCCAGCAATTCAGGAGGCTGAAGAAGGACAATTGCTTGAACCTGGGAGGTAGAGGTTGCAATGAGCCAAGATCACACCATTGCACTTCAGCCTGGGCGACGAGAGTGCAACTCTGTCTCAAAAAAAAAAAAAAAAAAAAAAAAACGAAAAAGAAAAACAAAATCACTGTATCCTGATGGAAAAACACACCACCAATGAAGCAGTCTCCCCTGAACCATCTCTCAAAAAGTTAAATCTGAATGTGGCTGGCCAGGTGCGATGGCTCACACCTGTAATCCCAGCACTCTGGGAGGCTGAAGTGGGCAGATCACCTGAGGTCTGGAGTTCAAGACCAGCTTGGCCAACATGGTGAAATCCTGTCTCTACAAAAAATACAAAAATTAGCCGGGTATGGTGGCAGGCGAGTGTAATCCCAGCTACTGGGGAGGCTGAGGCAGGAGAATCGCTTGAACCTGGGACATGGAGGTTACAGTGAGCTGAGATCACATCATTGCACTCCAGCCTGGGTGACTGAGCAAGACTCAGTCTCAAAAAAAAGAATGTGGTCAAGGCTCTAGACTATAGCTGTCAATTTACAGGAAACAGAGGTCAGAGGAACATGCTAAATTACACCATGGAGATGCAATCAGCAAAATCCAAAGAAGTTTTTTTTTGTTTTTTGTTTTTTGTTTTGAGACGGAGTTTTGCTCTTGTTACCCAGGCTGGAGTGCAATGGCGCGATCTCGGCTCACGGCAACCTCCGCCTCCTAGGTTCAGGCAATTCTCCTGTCTCAGCCTCCTGAGTAGCTGGGATTACAGGCACGCACCACCATGCCCAGCTAATTTTTTGTATTTTTAGTAGAGACGGGGTTTCACCATGTTGATCAGGATAGTCTCGATCTTTTGACCTCGTGATCCACCCGCCTCGGCCTCCCAAAGTGCTGGAATTACAGGCTTAAGCCACCGTGCCCGGCCAGTCCAAAGAAGTTTTAAAGGACATGTGATCCCCTCTCCAAATAAATTCTTTAAAAAAAAAAAAAAAAAAAAAGGCAAGGAGATATTACTCAGGAGGCTGAGGCAGGAGAATCGGTTGAATCCAGGAGGTGGAGGTTGCAGTGAGCCCAGATGGTGCTACTGCACTCCAGCCTGGGCAAGAGAGTGAAACTCCATCTCAAAAAAAAAAAGAAAAAGAAAAAAGAAAAAGAAAAAAGGTGGGGAGGTGATGGAGGCAGAACCTATGGATTAAAAAAGAACTAAAAGGGAGTATCCTGAACCTATTCTGGTTTGGAAACTGTGAGATTAAAGAAGAAAAAGAACTAAAAAAGCCAGACTAATTCTTATGTGCAAACAAGTTTAGGAACCAACGATACATACAAACTACATAGATAAGACACAGGCAGTGGCAAGGGAACAGAATTTAAAAGTCCAGTTTTGCCGGGCGCGGTGGCTCACACCTGTCATCCCAGCACTGTGGGAGGCCAAGGCAGGTGGATCACGAGGTCAAGAGATCAAGACTATCCTGGTCAACATGGTGAAACCCCGTCTCTACTAAAAATACAAAAAATTAGCTGGGCATGGTGGCGCGTGCCTGTAATCCCAGCTACTCAGGAGGCTGAGGCAGGAGAATTGCCTGAACCCAGGAGGCGGAGGTTGCGGTGAGCCGAGATCGCGCCATTGCACTCCAGCCTGGGTAACAAGAGCGAAACTCCGTTTCAAAAAAAAAAAAGTCCAGTTTTATTTCTCTTTACCAAAAGCAGATATCTCTGAAAAGCTGAGTTTTAAAGTAAATTTGGAAAGAATGGTGCCTGACTCTAAAGTTCTATAATGTTTTTCAATTAAAAGCTGGTGCTGGCAGGGTTCAGTGGCTCACACTTGTAATCCCAGCATTTTGGGAGGCTGAGGTGGGTGGATCATCTGAAGTCAGGTGTTCGAGACCAGCTTGGCCAACATGGTGAAATCCCATCTCTACTTTAAAAAAAAAAATTAGCTGGGCATGGGGGTTCGCGCCTATAATCCCACCTACTAGGGAGGCTGAGGCAGGGAAATCACTTCAACGCAGGAGGTGGAGGTTGCAGTGAGCCAAGATTGTGCCATTGCACTCCAGCCTGGGCAACAGAGCAAAAACTCTGTCTCAAACAAACAAACAAACAAACAAACAAACAAAAAGGCCAGAGAGGTCTCTCATCTTGAGAACAGACCCATAGTAAGATTGATTTCACTTTAACAGGAAGAAATGCTGGGAGCGGTGACACATGCTTTTAACCTAGCACTTTGGGTAGCCAAGGCGGGCAGATAACTTGAGGTCAGGAGCCAGAGGCAGGAGAATCGCTTGAACCCTGGAGGTGGAGGTTGCAGTGAGCCGAGATGGTACCACTGCATTCCAGCCTGGGTGACAGAGCAAGACTCCATCTCAAAAAAAAAAAAAAAAAAAAAAAAAATTGCTTGTCACTCTTTCTTACTACAGACATTCTTTGCAAATCTTTGGCCAGTAACATGCATATACCCACACACAGTTTGCAAATAAGAACAACTATTCAACGTGAAGTGCTACAAAAGGATGATGATAAAGTGCTCACCGCTTGAAGAAAAGCACTAATACGGCCGGGCGCGGTGGCTCAAGCCTGTAATCCCAGCACTTTGGGAGGCCGAGGTGGGTGGATCACAAGGTCAAGAGATTGAGACCAACCTGGTCAACATGGTGAAACCCCGTCTCTACTAAAAATACAAAAAAATTAGCTGGGCATGGTGGCGTGTGCCTGTAATCCCAGCTACTCAGGAGGCTGAGGCAGGAGAATTGCCTGAACCCAGGAGGCGGAGGTTGCGGTGAGCCGAGATCGCGCCATTGCACTCCAGCCTGGTTAACAAGAGCGAAACTCCATCTCAAAAAAAAAAAAAAAGAAAAGCACTAATAATTTCAACAAAGCCAGAACACACACGTACACACGCACACACACACACACACACACACACACACACACACACACGAAAAAAAAAAATGCATGCTGTCTACGACCAGAGATCTTTAAATATAAAAAATAATCAGCCGGGTGCGGTGGCTCAAGCCTGTAATCCCAGCATTTTGGGAGGCCGAGGCGGGTGGATCACAAGGTCAAGAGATCGAGACCATCCTGGTCAGCAAGGTGAAACCCCGTCTCTACTAAAAATACAAAAAATTAGCTGGGCATGGTGGTGCGTGCCTGTAATCCCAGCTACTCAGGAGGCTGAGACAGGAGAACTGCCTGAACCTAGGAGGCGGAGGTTGCGGTGAGCCGAGATCGTGCCATTGCACTCCAGCCTGGGTAACAAGAGCGAAACTCCGTCTCAAAAAAAAAAAAATAATAATAATAATAATCATTCTTGGCAAGGAGTGGGGGCTCACGCCTGTAATCCCAGCACTTTGGGAAGCCGAGGCAGGCAGACCACCAGAGGTCAGGAGTTCGAGACCAGCCTGGCCAACACGGTGAAACCCCCTCTCTACTAAAAATACAAAAGTTAGCCAGACGTGGTTGTGGGTGCCTGTGGGTGCCGGTAACGCCAGCTACTCGGGAGCCTGAAGCAGGAGAATCGCTTGAACGTGGGAGGCGGAGACTACAGTGAGCCAAGATCGCGACACTGCACTCCAGCCTGGGCAATAAAAGCAAAACTCTGTCTCAAATTAAAAAAATAATCCTCGGGAATAAATACGGTAGGTACAAACTTGGCAGGTGACTCTGTTATGCTTAAAGGTTCTGGCTGTCAACAGTCCCCGACGGGACGGCGGCACCCTCAGTCCCATCGGACCGAGGGCGTTGACGCGGGAGCCTTGGGGCCGCCCCTCCCGGCCCGACGTCCCCAGGTGCCTGCTTACCCTGCTGGGAGCCGCATCCCTGCGCTCGGCGCCGCGCTCGGGGGCGAGCTGACAACTGCGGCTGGCGAAGGCGCGGCAGAGAGGAAGGAGAAGGCTCCTCTTTCCCGCCCGCAAGGCCACCATGGCCCCACGCCGCCTGGCTCCCGCGGCGCACGGCAGCATTGCGACGACGCGAGGGAACGCTTTACGGCAGGGTCGCGAAGCCCGAGGGAGCGCGGCGACGCGGCCGATCGTGCGCTTTCCCTGCGGTGCGGCGGCTGCGGGGTCGGCAGGCGGCGCGGGCTGACCCAGCCGGCCGCTCTTTGGTCGCGGCCATTCCAGGCTGTCTCGCTGCGCACTAGCGCTGGGCGTGGCGCTGTCGGCGGCTAGCAGCGGACGCCGGAGGTGTCCCGGGTTTGGGTTTGTTCGGCCAGGGGCGGGGCTGGCGGGCCCGGGAGGCGCTGCGGAAGTCGTGGAGGCGTCGGCGGCGCGGCGCGCGATGGCGCGGGCGGGACAGGTAAGCAAAGTGCGGCGTGTGGCCTTTTCCCTCCGTCGCGGGCACGAGTGCAGCCTCACATCGGCGCGGGGCTTCCCACCCGGCCACCCGTATCCCAGCGCCCACCCCCGCGTGGCCTGTTGGCACAGGCAGGACCAGGCCGGACTCGGTGCCGTCCCCGCCCCTGGGTCGGACGCGGGTCGGGGCAGGCCAGGTCTGGTCTCCGGTGTCTGCGGCCGGGCCTCGGCTCCCCTTTTTGCCAGGCTCTACCCGGCCGGGCCGAGCGCCCCTCGCGGGCCCATTGTGAGGTCAGGACCGGCGGGCGCGCCCTGGCACCCTGGCCCAGACGCCGGGAGCGGCTGCTACAGCGGTAGCGGCCCCTTCACCGCCGGCCCCTTCACCGGCTGCCCGGCTCAGACCTAGTCGGGAGGGGCGCGAGGGATGCAGCTGGGGGCCCAGCTCCGATGCCGCACCCCGTAAAGGGCTGATCTTCCACCTCGCCACCTCAACCACCGGACGCCAAGGCCGCAGCCAGCTCAGGTCTCTTCTGGGTCAAGGGCCAAGGGGGAAGGGCGAGGCGGGGAGGAAGGAGCGCCGGCGGCCTGCCCTACGTGGCCGCCAGGATACCCACAGGGGATGGGTGCTTTTCCGTTCGTTACCCACCTCGAGTAAGCCGTTTGATAGAAACCAAGAGCTTGAAACATGTGTTGAGCCATTGTGGACTTTTAGTGCGAATTATTCGTAATTATCACGTTTTCGCGGGTTGTATTTTTTTGAGAGAATGGAGCCATGGTAGGGGCTGAGGAGGTTCTGGGCCTCCAAGGCCCAAGATGGTGCCCTTCAGCGCAGTCCCTGTCGCGCGTCTTGACCTGTGGGGTTTTTGCCTCTTCAGGGAGACATCTGTGAGGGAAGATGTGTGAGGATCTACAGGGGTGGGGCAGGGAGGCGCACAAAGGGATGGAGAGAAACCAGGAAGCGGGAACCTTGGGGGTGGCTGAGAGCCACTGGTTTTTGTTCTAGTGGTTCAGTGTCTTTGGCTCAGAGTTTCTGGAATCTAAGGCATAGCTGTTTGGCGGGGCGGGGTACTGTTAGTGTTCGGAAGGTTACAAGAGCTACTGTTTCACGTTGCACTAAGGTGCCTTGCTGGTTCCAAAAAAATCGTTTGTGCCAGGTGCAGTGACTCACACCTGTAATCCCAGCACTTCGGGAGTCGGAGGCGGGCGGATTGTCTGAGACAGCCTGGGCAATAGAGTGAGACGTGCCTTTACTAAAAGTAGTAACATTAGCTGGGTGTGGTGATGTGCGACTGTAGTCCCAGCTACTGGGGAGGCTGAAGTGGGATGACTGCTGGAAAGTATGCCTTTTTAAAATGAGAATTTTAGACTGTCTTAATATACCGTTAATGTTCTGCAGAAGCTTTGTGCTGTAATAAGTTATTCTTGTCATCTTTTAGTGCTTGTGAAACTGAACACCACAAAAGTATGGATATGGGAAACCAACATCCTTCTATTCGTAGGCTTCAGGAAATCCAAAAGGAAGTAAAAAGTATAGAACAGCAAGTTGTCGGCTTCAGTGGTCTGTCAGATGACAAGAATTACAAGAAACTGGAGAGGATTCTCACAAAACAACTTTTTGAAATAGACTCTGTAGATACTGAAGGAAAAGGAGATATTCAGCAAGCCAGGAAGAGGGCAGCACAGGAGACAGAACGTCTTCTCAAAGAGTTGGAGCAGAATGCAAACCACCCACACAGGATTGAAATACAGAACATTTTTGAGGAAGCCCAGTCCCTCGTGAGAGAGAAAATTGTGCCATTTTATAATGGAGGCAACTGCATAACGGATGAGTTTGAAGAGGGCATCCAGGACATCATTCTGAGGCTGACACATGTGAAAACTGGAGGAAAGATCTCCTTGCGGAAAGCAAGGTATCATACTTTAACCAAAATCTGTGCCGTGCAAGAGATTATCGAAGACTGCATGAAAAAGCAGCCTTCCCTGCCGCTCTCTGAGGATGCACACCCTTCTGTTGCCAAAATCAACTTTGTGATGTGTGAGGTGAACAAGGCCCGAGGGGTCCTGATCGCGCTTCTGATGGGCGTGAACAGCAGCGAGACCTGCAGGCACTTATCTTGTGTGCTCTCCGGGCTGATGGCCGACCTGGATGCTCTGGATGTGTGTGGCCGGACAGAAATCAGAAATTATCGGAGGGAGGTAGTAGAAGATATCAACAAATTATTGAAATACCTGGATTTAGAAGAGGAAGCAGACACTACTAGAGCCTTTGACCTGAGGCAGAATCATTCCATTTTAAAAATAGAAAAGGTCCTCAAGAGAATGAGAGAAATAAAAAATGAACTCCTCCAAGCACAGAACCCCCCTGAATTGTATCTGAGCTCCAAAACAGAATTGCAGGGTTTGATTGGACAGTTGGATGAGGTAAGTCTCGAAAAAAACCCCTGCATCCGAGAGGCCAGGAGAAGAGCAGTGATAGCAGTGCAAACTCTGATCACGTATATTGACTTGAAGGAGGCCCTTGAGAAAAGAAAGCTGTTTGCTTGTGAGGAGCACCCATCCCATAAAGCCGTCTGGAACGTCCTTGGAAACTTGTCCGAGATCCAGGGAGAAGTGCTTTCATTTGATGGAAATCGAACCGATAAGAACTACATCCGGCTGGAAGAGCTGCTCACCAAGCAGCTGCTAGCCCTGGATGCTGTCGACCCGCAGGGAGAGGAGAAGTGTAAGGCCGCCAGGAAACAGGCTGTGAAGCTTGCCCAGAACATTCTCAGCTATCTCGACCTGAAATCCGATGAGTGGGAGTACTAAAATACCAGAGATCTCACTTTTGATATTGTTTTGCACTCTTCATATATACTTCTATGTATCGAGAGCTTCTAGTTCATTGAGCCCAACTGTGATTTATACATGCATATTTCAATCTCAGTATTTATGATTCAAGCAAATTCTATTCAGTATCTGCTGCTTTTGATGTTGCAAGACAAATATCATTACAACACATTAACTTTTCCATTCGGATCATTATCTGTATGATGTGGCGTGGTTTGTTGTGGTTTGTTTGGTTTGTCCTTTGTGTGTGTGTGTGTGTGTGTGTGTGTGTGTGTGTGTGTGTGTTTAATCAGAAAGAGGCAGCTTTTATAAATTTTAAATGGGTTGTGCAAGCATTAAATGCAGGTATTTCAGAATCTAGAAATAGGCATAACCTACATAATACTAGGAAAATTATGAGAAAGGGGAAAATTTTTGGTTAAATAGGAGTAAGGTTCAAACACAAGCAGTTCATGTTCTGTTTTATTGTGCTTGACAGAGACTTTTTTCCACTTGTAAGGCCTGATTGGTCCTATTCAGCTTAGTGGGGTGGGGTTTTTTTTTGTTGTTGTTCGTTCAGTCCATTCTTTTGAAAACATTTTTAGTTGGAAAAACAGCATCTGTATTTTCCCCATACTCTACATTTTAGAGAGGGGAATCTTTTTTGTGTGCAACATGAGAAAATTAGGAAAACGAATAGCCAAAAACCCTCTGAAATTACATTAAAGAGAAGGGATAAAGGACCAGCTGTAAGGATCAGATATTGTAAATTGTTTTTGTAATATCTGAGCTTATTGTTTTTCTTAGTGATTCATAAGGACGGGAACATTTAAATGAAGTTAATGGACCTTTAAGAAAAAAAAAAAAAGGAAACGCCCGTACCTGTAGTTGGAGGATGGAAACTGGAGATTGTCACCAATGTCCGGTTATATTAAAACAGCCAAAAAGTCTAAGTGTAGCACGTAATGGTTCTCTCATGTTGTTGTCCAAGGCTGTAAAATGGACAGCCTTGTCACGCCTCCCCAGTGCTGTTAGTAACCCAGAAGGACCATGCCTTCCTGTTTTCCTAGGCAGTCAGCTGTTAACCAATCCCGTAGTAAACATCCTAAAGATCGCCTGCTCCAGGACCAATTAGTGAAACCTGCTGGGAATTAAAGGCTTGCTCTGGGTGCCTGCCAAACAGCTGAGCTCATGTTAGGGGCATGCGGTGGTTTCTCTGTTGCCTGAAAGAGCCATTAAAGTCCATCGTGCATGAAGTGTCTCTCCTGCTAAAGGATGTGTATTTCAATAATTACTTTCTGAGGATCCAGTACAAAATAATTTCACAAAGTTCTGAAGTGCCTTGAGAACCTGTTGGTCCCAGTGTTACAACAGACTCTTTCCCCAGGGTCACCTTTCACCTAGTCATCTTAATACGATGCTCTTTGGAACTCCAAGGTATTATTACTTTCAGAGATGCTAATTTTGTAACTTTGGGAAATCATCACTTTAAACAGCTGAAAGTATGATAGCTAAGGGAGTAACTTTGGTCGGTGGAGGTGGCTCACACCTTTAATCCCAGAACTTTAGGAGGCTGAGGCAGGTGGATCACAAGGTCAGGAGTTCAAGACCAGCCTGGCCAATATGGTGAAACCCCATCTCTGCTAAAAACACAAAAATAGGCCGGGCGCGGTGGCTCAAGCCTGTAATCCCAGCACTTTGGGAGGCTGAGGCGGGTGGATCACGAGGTCGAGAGATCGAGGCCATCCTGGTCAGCAAGGTGAAACCCCATCTCTACTAAAAATACAAAAAATTAGCTGGACATGGTGGCGCGTGCCTGTAATCCCAGCTACTCAGGAGGCTGAGGCAGGAGAATTGCCTGAACCCGGGAGGCGGAGGTTGCGGTGAGCCGAGATCGCGCCGTTGCACTCCAGCCTGGGTAACAAGAGCAAAACTCTGTCTCAAAAAAAAAAAAAAAAAAAAAAAAAAAAAGCTAGGTGTGGTGGTGCACACCTCTAGTCCCCAGCTGCTCGGGAGGCTAAGGCAGGGAGAATCGCTTGAACCTGGCAGGTGGAGGTGAACCAAGATCAAGCTACTGTACTCCAGCTTGGGTGACAGAGTGAGACCCCACTCAAAAAAAAGGAGTAGTTTTTAATAACTAAAAAATGACAAAAGCGGCCGGGCGCGGTGGCTCAAGCCTGTAATCCCAGCACTTTGGGAGGCTGAGGTGGGCGGATCACGAGGTCAAGAGATTGAGACCATCCTGGTCAACATGGTGAAACCCCGTCTCTACTAAAAATACAAAAAGTTAGATGGGCATGGTGGTGCATGCCTGTAATCCCAGCTACTCAGGAGGCTGAGGCAGGAGAATTGCCTGAACCCAGGAGGCGGAGGTTGTGGTGAGCCGAGATCGCGCCATTGCACTCCAGCCTGGGTAACAAGAGCGAAACTCCGTCTCAAAAAAAAAAAAAAAATGACAAAAGCATAACCCTTAACAAATCTTCACTTTGTCTCAATATTGCCCATTCATTCAAATCCCTTGGTATGTCTTTCCTACTGGAAATGTTCTAGAACCACTGGACGGTGGGGTCAGAGGTCAGTTGGTATTTAGGCTGTGAGCCTCCCACACTACTGTAGGCCCAACATCTGGGAACTGCGGGCTCAAAGCAGGTCACTGGAATCCACATTTTGGCCAAGAGTAGTTTTAAGGTTGCTTTTCTGTATCGTAATTTTAGAATTCTCTTAAAATCTTGAGGAAGAGTTTTTAGATTAGAGCTTTGTTTAATTATACTGCCAGGAAATCCTGTTTACACTTGAGGCATATCCTTCACCAGCGTACTACTTAACATTTTAAATTTCATTTTGTAAAGTTAAAGGTCAGCATTCCCTTAAAAAGTGCCCGTTGTTCTTTGAAAGTAGATGTCGCCATCATTCTTTTCAAACAAAAGTGTTTGTGTCCCTTTTGCTAAGCTCTGGGCATGGTGTGTGAGCACAGGGTGTCAGCCCTTCCACGGTCATTTTGACTTGTTCACGGGTTATTTTGGTCATGGAAATGATCAGATTGACCTGGAGTGACCGTCAGGCATGGCTTTGTTTCTGTTTCAATCTGTTCTACTTGGTCGTACCGGATTATTCTCCCACAGTGAACCCTGGTGATACTGATTTAGCTCTTCGCCGCCCTCCTGGGGAGCTGTGTGTGTTAATATGGGCCACTGCATGTAATTCTTCAGCTGGGCTCGTCACATTGTATTGTATTTTTGTGATCTTACATGAAAAGAATCTGTACTGCAAGTAAAACCTACTCCCCAAAAATGTGTGGCCTTGGGTGTGCATTAAACGCTGTAATCCGTGATCATGCAAAAAATGGCTGGGAACGTTTGCTTTCTTTACATTGTCAGCCTTGCTTTATCCAGGTAGGGGAAAGCCAGTCAGCCTGTAGTGAAGTATGGCTTACTGCTTGATTTTGCTAAAATGTATATATATTTGATATACTTCAGTTTGAGAAGTTTAGCCAGTTTTTCTCATTTGTTTTTGTCAATTTCTATCTGGTTTTTAAGGGTCTGATCTTAGCTTATACATGCAAGTTTTTTTTTGTTTGTTTGTTTGTTTTTTTGAGGAAAGCTTCTAATTTGTTGGGTATTTTTCTCTTAATAACTAGAGAAATACTGGCTGTAATACAGGTGTGTGTTTCCAGTACCTTGGTTCCTGTCCCCTCTGTCAACTCTTTTTTGACAATTGGAACAGTATATCTTCAATAATTCAGTGTTATTTTGAGATACACATATTAGTACACTCTTAGTTATTCTTGAAATAAAGCCAGTCTCTTAGGCTTACAGTGGAGAAAGGCTGAGTCTGAGGGGTGTTTTTTTTATATAGCATCACCGTCCTGGACTGACTTGGGTGAGGAGCCCTTCCTTACTGGAGCCCAGAGCAGGCAGGCCGGGGGGCAGGTGGGCTCCTTGGCTGCAGCTGGTGGCCATGCTGTAAGGAGGTGAGGGTGGTGCATGTGTGCCAGGACCCACGCCCGGGTGACAGGGTCACTGTGCTCATTGAGACAGCCCAGGACGTATGTGTGTAATGGGGGTTGGGGCCTCATGGTCTGCTCCTCCAGGAGGATGCCCGCATCTCAAATAGGAATTGACTACATTTGTAGAAAGGAGAACCTTCGAGACTGTTGTGGAAAGGGGCTCTTCCCAGAGAAGAGTTGTTGAGAGTGTGCTGTGAAACCATCTTCACTGCTTTGTGACAGAGGCGTGGGAGTCTTGTGTCCATTTGGCCCTTCCCCGGTGTGTGAGGTTCCTGACTCCAGCCTCCGGCCCTCTCCCAGCCAAGTCAAGTGAAGCCTGTGTGCGGGGACGGCGGACGTGCACGGCTCACCTTGGGCAGTGGTTTGTTCATTGGAAGTCCACTCCGTGACAGCACTAACTTATTTTCCTGTTTTTAACCCTTTCCTATTGTATTTTCTGTTGTCTTCTCTGCCCGCTTTTATCTTCCAGGTGATCCAAACAGAGGCGGCCTAAGCCTCACAAACGCACAGCAGGCCCAGAGCCCAGACAAACAATGGGGACAGGTTAAAGAGAAACATTACAGGGAAAATGTGAGGTTTTCAGTAAATCCTCTACCACATGAGGATTCCTATCACTTACCAACCAGCTCCAAGCGTATCCCCGTGTTGCGCTGAGCATTGAAGAATCTGCTGTGCCATCAGTGGTGGAGGAGAAACCCCAGGCTAGTAAGAGAAGGGATGGGGGAAGTCATCTGCTCTGGGTCTGTCTCGGGCGTGAATGTCTTGGTGTCAGGGCGAGTGCCAAGTGCAAGCTGGAGAAAGACCAGTGGCTTAGGGAAGGGTCTCACCAGGCTCGTCCAGGCTGGTTAGAAAAAGGACAGGAGGGCCGGGCGCGGTGGCTCACGCCTGTAATCCCAGCACTTTAGGAGGCCGAGGCGGGTGGATCACGAGGTCAAGAGATCGAGACCATCCTGGTCAACATGGTGAAACCCCGTCTCTACTAAAAATACAAAAAATAAGCTGGGCATGGTGGCGCGTGCCTGTAATCCCAGCTACTCAGGAGGTTGAGGCAGGAGAATTGCCTGAACCCGGGAGGCGGAGGTTGCAGTGAGCCAAGACCGTGCCATTGCACTCCAGCCTGGGTAACAAGAGTGAAACTCCGTCTCAAAAAAAAAAAAAGAAAAAGGACAGGAGGGCCGGGCGCGGTGGCTCAAGCCTGTAATCCCAGCAC